CACATTTCTTATTTTTTACCAAATGCAATAAAATTGTAAAGTTGTGAATTGTGTAACTTTTCCTTATGTGTGTGTCAATAAATTACTATTATTATTATTATCGTATTCTTTTTTTCTTTCTCAAGATTTTCTAAAATATTGGTTTTTAAGAGATGTTCACGAGCCTAAGCCAAGTGCGCATCCATTTGGGAATTAAAATCCGAGATGTCTTCTTGCAAAAATTTTCGGACTATACGGCACGTGTTAAGGATGGCTGCTTTTTTGCATGGTAATTTAACTATTTTCAGGAAGATCTAATCGTTTAAGGGAGTGAGACAAACATTTCGCGATCATACCAGTACTGGAGAGCACCAGCGGTACAATATATACTTTGTTCATTTTCCAGATTCTAGTTACTTCTTCTTTTAATTCTGTGTTTTTTTTTTGATTTTTTTCAGTAATGGTTTTTGTATATTATGGGTATTTGGGTTCGCTATAACAATTAGGTATAGTGTTTTATTTGATTTGTCGATTAAAGTTATATCCAGTCTATTGCAATGAATTGTTTTATCTTTAAGAATAGTTCTATCAAAGTACATTCTGTGACTGTCACTCTCCAGAACAGGTTTAGGGGTATACTGATAGTACGGCAGTAGTTTTTGGTTCGGGATTAAATTGTATTTATTTGCAAGTGTTTGATGAACGTAATTAGCAACCTGGTTATGACGGTGGGTGTAATCAGTTTGTGCTGAGACAAGCACCGGTAATATGTTGTATAGTTTCGGGTTGGCGGTGGAATTTTCTGCAGCTATCGTTCTGCATGTTTGGGTCTTTTAGTATGTATTTTTATAGTTTCTTGTATTGATTACTTGATCCTGAATAGCAATAAGAAAACCTTCGGTGTCGGGGAAAAGAGAACCTGTTTTTAACTATTTATTTGAAGCCAGCAAGTCTATGTGAGGTTGTTCTAAATCGTGTGCATGTCTACCATGTAATTCTTTACTACGCCACTTTGAAAGCTTTTAATTCTTTACTACGCCACTTTGATAGTTTTTATTATTATTTTGGATTATTGGTAGAGTAATCACATATGGTTGGGCTGGATAAATATATAAAAGGAAAAATAAATATACTTAAATATCTATTATTATTATTATAGCGATATTTGGATCTGATTGGGATAGCATTAATGTAGTCGGTGTATTGGATGATGTACGCTGAGTCTCGGTTATAATGATGTAGGTACACTGGCGAAAACGTCACTATACACAGTGCATTAACACAATAAACTTACGAAATTCAATTGTGCGAGACACAGAGCTGCCACGTTAAAGTCCATAAACATATCGATGCCATTGGCCGGTCCGCGGCAGCGATGACTAGCGACCGTAGACACGATATGAGCGTACAATACTCGTAAGACAAGGGTCTATAACATTGGTCTCGGATGCGAAACTTGCAAGCGCACACAAATATTCACTACGGCGTACCGAGCCGAACCAATAATCAAAAATCGAAATATCCTCTATACTCATTTGCGTGTACAATTGCAAGTCATCGGCATACAGATGATAAGCAGACTGAAGGCTTTGGTTAATGAGATTATTAAATATAGAAAACAACAAAGGTGATAATATGTCGTCATGAGGGACACCAGCATGTATGTCAAGCCAGCTAGATGACCACTCATCGATGCAAACAGACTGCTAACGCCCTAAAAAATTAATCCAGTGCCTCGGGTGAGACCAAAGAAAGGAAAATGATGGAAATTAGAGTGTTATAACTGATGGTATTAAAGGTGTTCGAAAAGTCAACTAAAATTAATATAGTGGATTTAGAGTCCTCGTAGTGGTGTACACATTTCGATCTAAAATGGTTTGCAAACAACAAGTTGGTTTTAGGTGCATATATTATGTGCGTCCAGTAGTGAAATATTTCAGGCTGATAAAGAAAGAAAAAAATATGTGTGCGTAATTGCGGTTCAAGAATTTGAAAATGGTTTCAAAGTCACTTGAAATGTACGCAGCGGAGTGCTAGTCACGGATTTTTTTCATTATAGGAAGGATTTGCTTTAATCTTACCGATTTTCGGGCAGGTTAATAAACCCGAACGGTGAAGAAGTATAGAGAGAGCAAAAGTCTCCGATGAACGAAGCTGCCTGTCATGAGTGTCGAGCAGGAAATTAAACTCAGTTTTCAGATGATTCGGATAGTGTTCATCAAATAAAATAGAAAAAAACATCGCTGACGAATAGGAAGCTATTCGCAAAATACCATTCCCTAAAATCTGTCTGTCTTGCTGCGCCATTGTCTATTATGTCTATTAAGATTTTTGTTTTTTAATTTTACCACCAGCAAAGGCTACAACAATTTACAATAAATATTCAGTTACACGTTAATATCCTCGCTTCTTAATTCTTCTTACCAGGAAACGGAGAACTTACTCTCTCTGATAGATATAGATAGCCAGTATAACAACATGTTTTGAGGCACTCCTTCTAAGTTCTCTGACGGGGCTACACCGTTAATTGACTAGCCCCATGGCCATCGCACATCGCACTCGACAACATCTGTTGCGCATGTGAAGCTGGAGGTCGCAGAGAAGGGCGCGACATATGTTGTGGTGCGTCTTACTTTAGAAGCAGATGGGGAGATGTAATCCTCTCCCGAGAAGGTCTTCATGGGGCGGTCAGCGCTGGTGAGGCCGCAGATGTGTACGAAAGTGTTCCCGTGGTCCAGCCATTATGCGATAAAGGTAGAACACCACGGGGTTTTAGTCGGTGCGAGGCCGACATAATCGCCTTGCCCCCCGATGAAAAAACAGTGTCCTAAGCTCTGTAAACTATATCACTCAATGTTCTTATTTCTTTCAATATAAACCTAGAGCATGCAGAAACAACTGGATTGACTATTAATAATGTAATGATAACAGGACATGTCATATTCTGCCTCTTTGTCAGTTTTCTAAATCCACTTCAATTATAGCATCTTCACATGAATTATCCAATGAAGTGTTGAATAATGATGAATAAAAAATTTGACTATAGTTACCTCAGTAGGTAGGCGGATTTGAGAATGAACTGATATGTTTTCAGTCTGCAGACTGTGAGATTCAGCTATAGCCTGATTGAAATGGATTCTTTTCTATCAAAAATTTATCACAGCCATGCTGCAGTTATATTAGAAGTATGGTTGTAGCACGAATAGGTCGGTTTGACCGGGGAAGGACCACGCTCTCACAGAATACCAGCGTGAAATATAAGCTTAATGCTGCTGTGTTTCGTATGGTGAGTGTAGAGAACCGGAGATCCTTTTCATTAGAAACGAGGCATTCCATCTTAGTCCTCACGCGTGTTAACGCATCTGCATTTTGATTCGTAATCGAGGATAGAGATGTCTGTGGGTCGCAGCAACCACTTACCATCAGGTGGACTGTGTGCTCGTTTGTCACCATATCCTATAAAAAAACCTGCTTTACAAATTTGCAGGATGCATAAAATGCAGGCAAAATTACTAATAACAAATTGGATTGTGTGTTTCTTCCGACGACATTAGTTTAATGGTTATAGTTACGGACTAACTATAAGTTTTGCTCCATTCCACCTTAGATCTCGGGTGTGACAAGGCATGTGTAGCTTTCTTTACTTGAAGAAGGTGTCCATAGAGTGCAGTAGCCACGTACAATCAGGTGGACTGTAGGTTCATCATTTGTCACTTCCAGGCAGTTTGAAAACCGCAGATATTTATTATTTTGGGTTGCAATCGGGAATATACTGCAGCCCATCCTGTTACGGTTTCCTTCTGTCGCCTCTTACGACACCCATGGAACGATATGTGGTAGTGGAAATTCTTATACCGTCATTACACGGTACAATACCCGGCGATAAATATTGCACATCGACCTTTGGAAAGAGACAATCAGCTAATATCGGTTTCGTAGAGCGTTATCTCGTCGCACAAAATACGAACAGTCTGTCAGTTAGTGTGCGACAGAGATAACGCTCTATGCGTCTCATACTAAATGTGATTTTTTTATAATCTTGAGCTTAAATTATGGCTTAAGAATGTCCTTATAACTAACGCAGTCCTTTAGACGTGGTGCCATATTCTTCACTGCTTTACATCATGTATACGTAAGTACACTAAGAGTTACATTTAAGTTCGAATATTCGCTGAGACTAATATTATAAACATGTTTTTGTAATAAGGTTAAAAAAGTCGTAAACCATTTCCAACAAGCAATTTAAGCTTGCTTGTAGTAGTTAAGAGTAATAACGGTGTGGTAAAAGCACTACTAGTATTCATTAAAATAAAAATCATGTTCCATTTAATTTCTACTTAGAAACTGTGTTTGTTCTAAAATTCAGAATAGTAATAATTTTGAAAGTATAGTTACTGCCACAACCACTAAAACACATTTCAAGTTACCAAGGAAGCAAAAGCACAACTATGTAGTTAATAAAATTTTATAACACTGAACATATAAGCAAAAAGAAGAGAGATTGTATTGTTTTATTTCTTTTTTCCAGGAGACAATATAACTGTAATAAAACTGCTTAACTAACTACATAGTAGGAGTACGGTATTAAATCTAGTGAGCGAAGTGCAATAGCTGTTTTAAGCGGAATGCAATAAACAACTCTGTTCCTACAGCGCAAAAAATTAAACATGTAAAAGGAAATTGCGCAGGCATTCCAAGTCAATAAAGGTAAAATTAAGTAAAGTTGCAGACTATTATCTCATTTCTAAGAAGACTTTTGGGCACAGTAGTGTAACCCGCGCGGCTAATTTGTGATGTTATGATTAATTTAAGAAACTTTTAAAGTTATTATCCTATAAAAGTAGTTAAAAAAAATACCATTATCCTGAAATAAAACCGGTTTTACGGGACATAAAATATAATACAATTACGTTATATTTGCATCTTAATTGCTTTTTTATAATACGTGATATAAGCAATTACGACGCAATAATTAGGGCGAAAGGTTTGTCTACTTTGTTGCAAATATTCTTGCGTATAATTCACATGAAGCGGCATGACCTCACGTCTCTGTCGTATAATATTATACTTAAGGGTGGAGCTAAATTGATATAAGTAATATGACTTGTGGCCTCAGCACTATTAGGACTATGATAAGAAATTATGAAAGTATTAATGTTGTAGTGTGTAACAAACTACATTATATTATGTTATTGAAAATATCTAGGTACGAGTATATAATCTCATTTATTGTTTGAACGTGGGAATTCACATTTATTTTATTATTCTTATTGTTTATTTATTTTTAAATAATAACAGCGTAAATTTTTTAACAAAAGGTGAAACTATGATTTTCTTTTTATCGTGAAGGCATTTTGCATATATAAATTGCATATGGAGAAACATCCAGACCCGGATCAACTATTTGTAGGCCATACAAAAATTTGTTCCGTGAGAAATTGTGAACCAGTGCCCACAACGCTGTAACTAAACACTTATTAATAAGAATTTTAAGGGTGTAAGGAGATATAATCGTCAAAGTAGAAACTCGATAGATATAGCATTTCCAAAATCATGATTTCACGTGTAGTGGCAGGTTATTTCATAAGTACTGTTTAAAAACTATATACGAATAATTAATGTGAATATAATACAATCTAAAATGTAATATATTTTTGTGTGCGAGTGTGTATATGCACTTGTATGTATATGTATTTTTTTAACAATTAATGTTATTCTTAAAAATGTACACTTTGAGTGAATGGTTGATTTATTTATTTATATATTTTTTAAATGGAATATTAGCACCGATAACAGCGCGGGCGCAGTATCGAATAAATACTATTCAGGGCTCCGCTGAAAATCAGCGCTGCTGCAGTACGTGTGGTAGCATATGCTGAGTCGGAATCCTTTTTGGCATCACATCACTCACTCTTGCCGAGACTTATTTTTACTATGTTTACCATCTTGTCATCAAATCGATCACGGGCAATCGGTATAGTGTCGGAGTGCAGCGTCGCGCTTGGGACGTGCTGAGAGTGGCAGCCTCGTACCGGTAGGCGTAGTGTAGGGCGACCCCCCACTAGATGGAGTGACGACCTGGTAAGACATGCAGGAAGTCGATGGATGCAGGTGGCTCAGGACCGTGCTTTGTGGCATTACTTGGGGGAGGCCTATGTTCAGCAGTGGACTTGTGAAGGGCTGTAATGAATGATGATGATGATTACCATCTTGTACCTTGTGTGTTTTTTATGTTTTATTTACTTTTAAATGTATGTTTTGTGAGTGTATTGATGCAAATAAAACTTATGTCTATGTCTATGTCTATATATGTAACTCAGGACCATGATTGATGATTGATGAAGGAGACGCACTATTTGATTCAACTCATTTATTTAGCTAATTATCTTCTGGTTTACCTGACTCATAGATGGGTGGAGGCAGTAGAGTCTAAGGGGGGGCATTGGCTGTTAGTTCGGACATAGCGAAGGCCTTCGATCGGGTTTGGTACAAAGCGCTTCTTTCGAAGCTCCTTTCCTATGGGCTTCCCGAGATATTGTGCAATCGGATCACATGTATCCTTGCTGATTGGAACATCAAGGATGTAGTAGTCGTTGCATGCTCAATTACAAGTCTATTAACGCTGGTGTTCACAAGGCTGCGTGCTATCGCTGTTTTTCTGCGTACTGTGACGGCGCATTATTACAATACAAAAACAGGTTCGTCGCCTAGTTTAGGCATCAGTCTCTCACATTAATTTGTGCCTTTTTTTTTGTTAAAATTCGATATTGTTAATTTAATGTGGAGACAAAAATAAATTATTATTATTATTATTGGGGTATCTATATAATTTTCTCACCTGGTTGGGTTCTATAAATATATAATTATAAATTAAAATGAAAAGATAAATATACGTAAATATCAATAAAATAAAATAAACACAAAAACTACATAAATAAATAAGATCCAACCAGATGGGAGCCCTCGGCAGGGGAGACCAAACGGCCGAGGGTTAGGGGGAAAGGGAAAGAAACCGGCGGACGATGCGGGCGGTATCGAGGAGCACCGCCTTCTGCATTTGAGCCCGGAGAGGTCCGTCACGGAGTCCCAGTCGCCTCAGATGACCCGAGAGGCTGACTGGGATTAGCCCATTCGCAGAGACGACTACAGGAATAATTTCGGTCGGCAGACCACCCCACATGTCGGTCACCTCGTGAGCCAGGTCCAGATATTTTGTTCGTTTCTCTGTTTCGGCTTTCACGAGGTTCTCGTCATACGGAATGGTAATGTCGATCAAAAATATCCTTGACTGTGCCCGGTCCATCAGCACAATATCAGGCTTATTCGCAAGAATAGTCCTGTCTGTGATGATGGCCCGGTCCCAGTAGAGCTTGGCGCGGTCATTTTCGAGCACGGCTTCCGGCAAGTACTTGTAATACGGCAATTTTCGGTCCACGAGACCGTATTTCAGAGCGAGCTCCTGGTGTAGAATTCTGGCTACTAGGTTGTGCCTGTGCAAGTACTCAGAGTTAGAAAGCGCCGAACAACCGGAGGTGACATGCCTAAGTGACTCCCCGGGATGGCGACAAGCTCGACAGACGTCGACAGTGCCATCCTTTAGGATGTATCTCCGATAGTTGTTGGTCTTAATAACCTGATCCTGTATTGCACAGACAAAACCCTCGGTTTCCCCAAAGAGGTCACCGAAACGTAGCCAGTTGAGGGAGGCGGCTGTATCTACGTGAGGCTCATGTAGAGCCCTGTAGTACCTCCCGTGGAGCTCCTTCTCCTTCCATTCGGTCTCCCGGTCGGAAATGCTCTGTACTGCCGGGTCTTGCCATTGCTCGTTGGCTAAGGATAGAGGGGTAAGTCCTTTATCACTAGAAATGACGTCATTATAGAATGGATCATCCGATATCGCCAGGAAGTAATGACGGAGGCTGCACACTTCGCGATTATGCATGGTGAGCGCGCTCAGAAAGCCACGCCCACCATGCTTTCGCGGCAAGTACAGCCTCATTACCGACGATCTCGGATGATGCATCCTATGGGACGTCATTTTAGTTCAGATTGGACTCAGACAATCGCCCTGGAAGATACCCCTTCTTATCCTTATGTGGTCCTCCGCAGCCGTCATCCGCTCACCCAGATGACAAAGGATCGTACTCCACTGCCCCATATACTGCTCGAGGAAGTCTCTAATTACAGTCAATCTTGTACAGTTCGAGGACCCTCTTTAGCCATGTATGGGGCACCGAGTCGAACGCCTTTCTGTAGTCTATCCAGGCGACAGAGAAGTTCCGACGGTTGCGTTTCACCACTTTGCCAATGACCGCGTCGTTGAGGAGTGGTTCCTTAGTTCCACGACCACCGCCCCGACATCCATTTTGAGCGCGTGACATCACCTGATTTAGCTCCAGGTGACGAGTGATTCTCGCGCTCAAAATGGATGTCAGTGTCTTATATATGGTGGGTAGACACGTGATGGGGCAGTATTTGCTCGGGTCTGTGGTATCCTGATCTTTAGGAACCAAGTGAGTGATCCCAGTAGTGAAGAGGCTCGGGACTGTCTTCTGGTCGAGAGCCTCTTGAAACTGTCGGGCGAGCACAGCGTGACACACTATGAACCCCTTCAGCCAGTAATGATGCAGCCCGTCGAGCCCCGGACTTTTCCAGTTCGGGGCCCTACGGACCGCCTCAGCCACGTCTTCTGGCGTTATGGTGATGGGGTCCATAGGCATAACACTCGCACCCTGGCTCGCCACAACTTCCATCAAAGGGCCCTCGCTGTGGTTTACGGGCTCTGACCACAGGCCACGCCAGAATGCGATAATGTCAGCCTGATCCGGTCCTTGGCCCGCTCCACATACCTTTGGTTGCTTCAATGATTTATAGAGCCTCTTCTGATCACTCTGGAAGAGACGATTCTGGTTGAACCGCCTTGACCTCTCGGAAAATCGTCGAATCCGCTTCCCCCAAGCAGCGATCTTTTGCTTCAGGTCGTCTATGCGCTCCGTTAGTTTCTGCGTGATATCCGGCTGGGACATACAACTGATATTTGTCCCAGCAAACACCATCCTAACCGTGCGCATAATCCTCGGTCTATTATTACCCGACCTGAAGCTTGTCAGTCTGCCGATAAGGGCCCTTGCCTTTGCGATACGGTCCTCGATTCTTTTTCTCCAGGCTGGGATGGCGCTACTTTGAGTAGTAGCGCGTCCAGCCATGGGAAGTTTGGCGCCAATAATACGGCAAACTGCCAGTGCGGCGCCAAAGAGAATCGAGTCCGTCTCGCAAAGGTCCCGGCCGGCTTCCAAATAGGTCACCAGCATTGGGTTAAGAGCCCTCACGACAGACGGGATGCGGGGAATCGCCGATTTTCGAGAGGGGTGCTGCGCGTTTCCAAAATCGCCTCTTCCAATATACTCCTCATTTGCTCTAGTTCGTGGGAGACTATTTCATCGTCGTTCGAATCAACCACAACTGGAAGATCCATGGCGGCTTCCACGTATGGATGCTTGTCTGTTGAATGTGGAGCTGCATCTCCAGCCATAGCCGATTCATTCGACGACGGAATAGCCTCACGTCGTAGTCGTTCGAGTTCGGCATCATCAAATATTTTCGAGCGCATGATGTACCGAACTCGGTCTGCCAGGTTTTGTTCCGTGACGGGGATAGACGGCTCCAGCTAAGCAAAAAAAGCAATGCATCCGAGACCTATACGCTATTCCCACAGTTTCTTCCCCTTTCGCCCTATAGTACGCCCGCAATGCGTTTTCGTTCATGAATTTTGTCCAACGCATGCGACGTGCTCCACCAGCGCCGGGTGCCGCTTGCTGAGTCCGAGAAGACCCAGCCGACACCAAGCCTTCTGGTGGGGATGATGGATGCGAGGGGCTGCTAGGTGATCGTGCAGCTCCTCCATCCATTCATTTCCAACCACATTTCCATCATCCTTATTTATTATTATTATTATGTGGGGTATCTATATAGTTTTCTCATCTGGTTGGGATGTATAAATTTATAATTATAAACGAAAATGAAAAGATAAATATACATAAATAACAGTAAAATAAAAAAAAAATAAAAAAAAAATACATAAAAAAATAAAAGCCCAACCAGATGGAAGCCCTCGGCAGGGGAGACCAAACGGCCGAGGGTTAGGGGGAAAGGGAAAGAAACCGGCGGACGATGCGGGCGGTATCGAGGAGCACCGCCTTCTGCATTTGAGCCTGGAGCGGTCCGCCACGTAGTCCCAGCCGCCTCAGATGACCCGAGAGGCTGACTGGGATTAGCCCGTTTGCAGAGACGACTACAGGAATAATTTCGGTCGGCAGACCACCCCACATGTCGGTCACCTCGTGAGCCAGGTCCAGATATTTTGTTTGCTTATCTGTTTCGGCTTTCACGAGGTTCTCGTCACACGGAATGGTAATGTCGACCAAAAATATCCTTGACTGTGCCCGGTACATCAGCACAATATCAGGCTTATTCGCAAGAATAGTCCTGTCTGTGATGATGGCCCGGTCCCAATAGAGCCTGGCAGCGATCATTTTCGTGCACGGCTTCCGGCAAGTACTTGTAATACGGCAAATTCCGATCCACGAAACCGTATTTCAGAGCGAGCTCCTGGTGTAGAATTCTGGCTACTAGGTTGTGCCTGTGCAAGTACTCAGAGTTAGAAAGCGCCCAACAACCGGAGATGACATGTCTAAATGACTCGCCGGGATGGCGACAAGCTCGACAGACGTCGATTGTGCCATCCTTTAGGATGTATCTCCGATAGTTGTTGGTCTTAATAACCTGATTCTGTATTGCACAGACAAAACCTGTTTAAGAAGTGGAGGGAGGTTACTGTGTCTACGAAAGGCCCATGTAGAGACTTGTAGAACCTCCCGTGGAGCTCCTTTTCCTTCCATACGGTCTCCCGGTCGGAAATTGTCTGCACTGCCGGGTCTTGCCATTGCTCGTTGGCTAAGGATAGAGAGGTAAGTCCTTTATCACAAGAAATGACGTCCTTATAGAATGGATCATCCGATCTCGCCAGGAAGTAATTACGGAGGCTGCACACTTCGCGATTATGCATGGTGAGCGCGCTCAAGAAGCCACGCCCACCATGCTTTCGCGGCAAGTACAGCCTCATTACCGACGATCTCGGATGATGCATCCTGTGGGACGTCATGGTAGTGCGGACTTTTCTATCCAGGGCGTTAAGTTCAGTCTGAGTCCACCTGAGTATGCCAAAGGTATACATGAGGATAGGCATGACCCAGCCGTTATATGCTTGTGTCTTATTCACACCGGACAAAAGGCTGTTAAGCACTTTGGTCAAGCGTGAATAAAACACGTCGCAAACTGACTGTTTCATACCAGCCTCATCGATACCGATGTTCTGTGACATACCCAGGTATCGGTATGTTTCAGCCTCGGAAAGGGTCCTTAAGTTGACTCAGACTCAGAGTTAGCAACCCTACCCCTCTCAACATGGAGTACCGCACACTTATCCGTCCCCAGCTCATTCCAATGGATTTGCTAAATTCACAAGTGATGTTTAGCAATTCCATAAGATGGGAGCGACTGGAGGCGAATAACTTGAGGTCATCCATATAGAAAAGGTGGGTCACTTTTGTCCCTCCTTTCTGTAGCTGAAATCCCCTCCCGGAGCCCTCCAGTAAGGTACTGAGAGGGTTCAGAGAGAGGTAGAACCATATTGGACTCAGACAATCGCCCTGGAAGATACCCCTTCTTATCCTTATGTGGTCCTCCGCAGCCATCATTCGCTCGCCCAGATGACAAAGAATCGTACTCCACTGCCCCATACACTGCTCGAGGAAGTCTCTAACTGTACAGTCTATCTTGTACAGTTCGAGGACTCTCTTTAGCCATGTATTGGGCACCGAGTCGAATGCCTTTCTGTAGTCTATCCAGGCGGCGGAGAAGTTCCGACGGTTGCGTTTCACCACTTTGCCAATGACCGTGTCAATGAGGAGTGGTTCCTTGGTTCCACGACCGCCGCCCCGACATCCATTTTGAGCGCGCGACATTACCTGATTTGAGTCCAGGTGACGAGTGATTCTCGCGCTCAAAATGGATGTTAGTGTCTTGTATATGGTCGGTAGACATGTGATGGGGCGGTATTTGCTCGTGTCTGTGGTACCCTGGCCTTTAGGAACCAAATGGGTGATCCCAGTAGTGAAGAGGCTCGGGAGCGACTTCTTGTTGAGAACCTCTTGAAACTGTCGGGGGAGCACAGTGTGACACACCACGAACCCTTTCAGCCAGTAGTGATGCAGCCCGTCAAGTCCCGGACTTTTCCAGTTCGGGGCCCTACGGACTGCCTCAGCTACGTCATCCAGCGTTATGGTGACGGGGTCCATGGGCGTAATACCCGCACACTGACTCGCCACAACTTCCGTCCAAGGGCCCTCGTTGTGGTTTACGGGCTCTGACCACAGGCTGCGCCAGAATGCGACCGTGTCGGCCTGATTCGGTACTGGGCCCGTCCACTTACCATTGGTCGCTCCAATGATTTATAGAGCCTCTTCTTATCACTCTGGAAGAGACGATTCTGGTTGAACCTTGTCGACCTCTCGGTATATCGCCGAATTTGCTTTCCCCAAGCAGCGATTCTCTGCTTCAGGTCGTCTATGCGCTCCGTCAGTTTTTGCATTATATCCGGCTGGGACAAACTAACATTTGTCCCAGCAAACGCCATCCTGACGGTGCGCACAATCCTTGGCCTGGTATTGCCTGACCTGAAGCATATCAGTCTGCCGATGAGGGCCCTAGCCTTTGCGATACGTTCTTCAATTCTTGTTCTCCAGGCTGGGATAGCACTACTTTGTCCAGTAGTGCGTCCAGCCGTGGAAAGTTTGGCGCCTATAATACGGCAGACTGCCAGTTCGGCGCCAAAGAGAATTGAGTCCGTCTCGCAAAGGTCCCGGCTGGCTTCCAAATAGGTCACCAGCATTGGGTTCAGAGCCCTTACGACAGCCCGATTCCGCTTGCTTAGGGCTATGCGGGGAAAGTCGCGGTCGATTTTCGAGAGGCGTACTGCGCGTTTCCATAATCGCCTCTTCCAATGTACTCCTCATTTGCTCTATTTCTAGTTCCTGGGTGAATGTTCCATCATCATTTGAATCAGCTGCCACTGGGGTATTCTCGGCGGCATCCACGTGTGCGGGTTGTTCTGCAACTTGTAGCACCGCACTCCCAGTCGTAGCGTTTTCATTTGATGAGGGAACAGCCTCACGTCGTAGCCGTTTGAGTTCGGCGTCATCAAATATATTTGAGCGTAAGATATACCGAACTCGGTCTGCCAAGTTTTGCTCGGTGACAGTAATAGATGGCTCCAGCTCAGTAAAAAGACGATGCATCCTAGCCCGATACGCGAAACCTCCAATTTCTCCCCCTTTCGCCCTAAAATACGCCCGCAATGCGTTTGTATTCATATTGATGGTCCATCGCATGCGGCGTACTCTACCAGTGGCGGGTGCCGATTGCTGGGTCTGCGAAGACCCTGCCGACACCAAGCAAGCTGGTGGGGATGATGGATGCGAGGGGCTGCTGGGTGGTCGTGCAGCACCTCGCGCTCGGCTGGCGGTTCGCATGCTGTCGCGTCCAGCGCCAGCTCCAGACGCGCCCTGACGACCTCCAGGCAGCGGCCCTTTGCGCAATCTTCTGTGATCCATCATCCATACAGGGCGTCATTTAACGGGAGACGCCCAGAACCGGCGCCGTTTCATGGTGAGGCCATATGCACAAGCGGGCCCTTGCACCATCAATTTTTGCCGAGGCACGGCGCTCACACCTCTTGGCAAGGTGCTGACTGACTGCGCGGACGTAGCGGTTTTGTCACATAACCGTCACGTCAGCGGGCGATGGGGTCGTCACTTCCCTACGCCATTATTATTATTATTATTATAAGTATTATTATCATTAATAATTAGTATGTAAAAATATATTAACAGTAATATTTTAATCAACTAAAAATACATTACAAGGCATAAAGTTAAAATACATTAATTTCAGACATAAAGTGTTATTGTAAAGTAAAGGCCTAATATTGCCCTTTACAATAAATGGTTTTATCACGTTGTGATAGATGTGGTTGAAGGTGTGTTGAGTTGGCAATTCCCTGGAGTAGGAGAAAATTTATAAATACACACTGAATTATAAAAGATTGAAAAAGGAAAGAACGATATTTGACTCATACATAAAATGATTAATTTATGATAATAACATTTTGAGAATGGAAAGGGACAAAGCAAATTGCCCCTACATACTCCTGTAATATGCATATGCCCCGCATTTTGTGTATAGTTAAAGTTATGTATTTTTAATTAATATTTCAATTGATTCTTTCACCTCTTCACTAATCTAAAATCTATATTTGTTCTTTCTAATTAAATAAATGAGTTGAATCAAATAGTGCGTCTCCTTCATCAATCATCAATCATGGTCCTGAGTTACATATATCTATCGAGTTTCTACTTTGACGATTATATCTCCTTACACCCTTAAAATTCTTATTAATAAGTGTTTAGTTACAGCGTTGTGGGCACTGGTTCACAATTTCGCACGGAACAAATTTTTGTATGGCCTACAAATAGTTGATCCGGGTCTGGATGTTTCTCCATATGCAATTTATATATGCAAAATGCCTTCACGATAAAAAAGAAAATCATAGTTTCACCTTTTGTTAAAAAATTTACGCTCTTTTTATTTAAAAATAAATAAACAATAAGAATAATAAAATAAATGTGAATTCCCACGTTCAAACAATAAATGAGATTATATACTCGTACCTAGATATTTTCAATAACATAATATAATGTAGTTTGTTACGCACTGTAACATTAATACTTTCATAATTTCTCATCATAGTCCTAACGGTGCTGAGGCCACAAGTCATATTACTTACATCAATTTAGCTCCACCCTTAAGTATAATATTATACGACAGAGACGTGAGGTCATGCCGCTTCATGTGAATTATACGCAAGAATATTTGCAACAAATTAGACAAAACTTTCGCCCTAATTATTGCGTCGTAATTGCTTATATCACGTATTATAAAAAAAGCAATTAAGATGCAAATATAACGTAATTGTATTATGCAGTCGCATACGTCTGACAAATCCCGAGCGGTCGCATGCGACCGCACCCACCCACAGCACTTTAAACAATTAAAAGTTATATTTAAAGACTACTTTTCTACGAAGAAGTTTGACATTATAAAATCTATACAAAATTCTCTATCCTGTGGTCTAAACAAATGTCAGGTTTTACTTCATTATAATAAGATTTTATCGTATTTTGATAACAAAAAAAAAAATAAACCAAGAGAATGTCAGTAGCGTGAAAATCACAAATTTATTTTTTTATTATAAAATTGTAATGAAAGTTTTTTTGTGAAGATAAATTATATTCACAAAAAAACTTTAATTACAATTTTATAATGAAACAATATACGAAAACAATAATAAAATACTAGAAAAATCAAAAATCATCACAGAAATGAACGATATAGATTATAAATAAATATCCATAAACTATTTTATTCCAGTAGAGGATAGAAAATTTCATATTGATTCTATAATGTCAAACTTCTTCATAGAAAAGTAGTCTCTAAACATAAGTATTGATGGGTTTAAATGCTGTGGGTGAGTGCGGTCGCATTTGACCTCTTGAATTTTGACAGAATATCGAAGCGGTCAAATTTGGACGCTTGTCGTTTGAGAGGTTGCTCAAAGTTTTTTTAGAAAATATCTTGGACTTCACCTATATAAACATCTAATGTTACAGCTGCACCTAGATAAATTAAGATCTCAGCTATATTTTATCATAGGTGCGCTTCGAGGTAATATTCGCTGTCTGTCAAAATCAGTAATATATATTATATACAAATCCATGATAAACCTACCCACCCCCTACCTAGAATACCTAAAAGAGGTGTGGGGTACTGCTGCTAAAACAAATTTAAAGCGAATTGAAACATGTCAAAATAAAATAATTAAACTACTATTCCATTTACACTTAACTGCCATCGAGAAAATTCACAATCTCAGATTTATAAATATAATATATGCATATTAATACATAAACTATTAACTAGAGATATACACTCTAAAATAACGTTTACAAAGGAAGGACAAACACAAAACTACGAAAATTACGAAGGAGCAGAGTTATATAGTATATTGCCCAATAGTAATATTTAAAATATCCATTCCTTTACTTTAAACAAAAAAAAAAACTTTAAACCACCCCATATTAAAATATTTTCTCGATTTTAAACCAATAGCTTATTCAAAACTCCAACGTGATCTCTTTAATTAATTTGATTTTGCCACATTAATCTTTTAACTATATAGGTATGAAATATATTCAACTTAATTATAAGAACTAAATTTAAAATTATAAATGTAACCCTACACTGCATTCAGTCCCATAAGTGGGTCAACCAATAAAATTGATATTTTTTCTGATTTGAACCAAGTAGCAACATCTATGGTTACGCAAATAAATTGACAACAATCATTGGCACCCATTTAGTGCATTCGTTAAAATTAGATGGCAGCACTATTTCTCTCAGTTAGTCATTAAATTGAAAATTTTGAACGTTAGCCGCGCGCCGTGCGTATTCAATTTGCAAAAATGGTAAATAATTATTGTTTACGGAATGAAAGATTTCATGTCGAAATATCTGTGAACTAAACAAACGTAAATATATTTTTCTGATTTGGTCGTGTTTTGATACAAAATTTTCACAATTTGTGTGCGTTCCCCAATGTGTCACTTCATGCAGCGATGGTCCAATTTTAGGTATGTTGACAAATGGTGTGATGTTGTTTTTTTAGATATTGGCGAAGAAAACCTTATCCAGCGCTCGAATCCAAAATTATTTGACAATACCATTAGGCAATGAAGGTGAACAAGACTCCTCAGGCGTTGAAAGTGACGATGACATTGCCGTAGTTCGATCTACCATCAACAAACTTTGTGAAACGTTTAGCGATACGGATGACGAAGTAGAATCTGTTTGACCGAATATCATATGTTTCACAGAATATATTATCAGGGTCCTGTGGCGGTGATATGTAGCAGCATCATATATCAAATCCTAGTGGTTCAATTCCTGATGTCCCAAGTACATCTAGATCAACTGCTTCGCGAACATGTCAATCAATAGTTGTATCTTCCCGGGCTACTGTGCCAAAAGACGCTGCTCCTAGTCCTGCTGCATCCGTCGTCAGAAAAAAGCGAAATATCATCTGGAAAAAAAAACAGCTTTCCATTCAACAAACCGTGAGTTTTGTGGGCAAACCGATCTAGAGCCACCGATTACTGAACTTGAAACTCCATTACAATATTTCTTGTATTTCTTTGATGACAATTTTCTAAGCCATATCGTAGAAGAAATGTATAAGTTTAGTGTACAGAAAAACTCATCAAAGCCTTTTTCTACAAGCGTTACAGAGCTGAAAAAGAACATAGGTATCTGTATGCTAATGGGCATTGCCCCACTGCCGCATACTCGAATGTACTGGGAAACTGAATAAGGTTTGCCATGGATAAGAAATATCATGTCAGTAAACCAGCTTGAAAAAATTCGTCAATATCTACACTTCAATGACAATACCACTCAGTCACCAGCTGGTACTGCAACACACGATCGTCTCCATAAAATCAGACCTGTGTTAGAAACCCTAAAAAAATGTCAAGCTATACCCAAACGCGAAGCATTATCAGTAGATGAGCAGATGTGCACTACTAAAGCCTTTAACATGCTGCACCAATATCTACCACTCTGAAATATACTCTAGGATGGAGAATAACGCAGATCTGAGGCTTCCTAATAAGCCTGCTTTAGGCGCAAGTGCCAACATTGATATCCGGCTTGCAAGGTCTATTCCCAGGGATAAAAAGTACAAATTATTATTTGATAACTACTACATATGCCCTGAATTGATTACGTATCCTGCCAATGAAGGAATATATTCTATGGGAACCGTGGAAAAAGGACGAATAGGCAAATCTATACAAATACCATCAATGAAAGATCTAAAAAGTAGCAAGAAGGAAAGAGGATATTCAGAGGAATGGGTAGGCAATGTAAATGGCACAGATATCGTCACAGTTATGTGTTATCACAATAAACCAGTGGTGTTGACTTCAACTTTTGTTCGAAAAGAGCCTACTCAAAAAGTAAGGTTTTGTAAAAAACAAAAGAAATATATAGGTATCGATTGCCCTCAAATTGTTCGCAACTACAATCAGCATATGGGTGAGTTGAATTGCTCGACTCATTCTTAGGAAAGTACAAAATAAAGATGAAGACAAAGAAGTGGTATTTGACACTGTTTTACCATTTCCTCGACATAGCCACTGTTCACGCACGTTTGTTTAGGCATGATTTTGTTTAGGCAATTTGCAACCTGCGACGGCGCGCGTTTTCGAGCGGGAAACCGTTTTGACGGCGGGGCCGGGGGGAGGCTGATCGGTGCGGCGGACTGCCAAGTCGGCGGGTCTCGTTCCTTCTTGGTGAGCTAGCCGTAGCGCTCAGAGGTCGCGCGTAGGTTTTGATACAATTGCCGCTTGGAAGCTCGGGTCGTTTATACTTCGCGAACCTTACGGTTTATCTTAATTTGTTTGTTTTCTTGATAACGAAGCCGGGATTATATAATTATAGTTGTGAACGTTTTAGGTATTGTATGTGACTGCCATACGGTTGTGGGCGGCTGGTGTTTTGGTTGAAGGACAATAATAAGGAAACGTGCCTAAAATCTGAGTTAATTGTGCCTGCCATTTTGAATTTACTGTTGAATACTTAGAGTGATTAAAGGATCCTTATGCCGTTAATTGCATCGACGAGTTATTAGTGCTTCGTTTGATAGCGTGATAAAACTTTTACCTTGTCGCGGTAAGAGAGAAGAACGGTGAACCTTGTGATCAGAACGATGGTGCAGCTATCTGATCCTACCGGTGACGTCAGGTTACACTATACACTTCTCACACCACACACCAACTACGATTTACTTGCCCCTGACGCCACCTTGTGGCAGACCCTACACTTCTGGAAGCCAGTAAGTTTGTGTTTGCTTACCTCACCGTTCTAATTTAATTATCCATAGGTTGTTTGGACCCTCCCCTCTGTTACCCGTCGAATTGGGCTACCGTGGGCCCGAGCTCAATCGGCCTTGTCGGGGTAATTTGGGGCAGTAACATACTGGTAGCAGAGCGTGGTTGATTGGGTTTGCAATCACGCCCGGCCGTAATACAATAGTTTTTTTTTCGTTTGTTAACGGAACGGTGTATAGAACCACGTAATAAAAATATTTTTTTCCTTTATTTCTTTCTTTTCTTTGTTCACTTACTTTGTTAGCGGTAGGTAGAATTTAGAGCCACGCCCGCAAGCCGCGTAAGCGGAGTGTAGCTAGGTTTAGGTACCGTCATGCGTAGTGTAAGGTTAATAATTATCGTTATCACATAAGCGTGTAATTATCGTATTATCGTTATTGCATTCGTATTGTAGATTAAATTGCCGAAGTGTCGGTCGCCTTAGCGTGGCGTCTTGTTGACCGACTGTAGTTAGTACTCGAGGAGGAGTAATTGTGTTTGATTTAATTAACCGTAATTGTATTAATTAAATTAATTGTGGAGTGTAATTTGTATTTGTATTTGATAAATAGTAATTTGTATTGAATTTAATTTGGTAGTACTTGTATCTAGTAATGATGCCATCGCACAAGTCACCGGCGCTTCGCTTGCAAGCGGAGCTGCGCTGGGCTGCGTATGCCCACAGCTTGATAGGGCGATCAGATCGAGTCCATAGTTTAGAGAAGCGGCTTGAGCATGTCATGGCCCGAAGGGCCGTAGTGGAGGAGGCTTGCTCCGAGCTTATGGCCTCGGGAGCGGAACAGGGAGTCTTAGACTCCTGCCTCGCGGACTACGAGCAATTTTTTTCGCTCACGGACGACTTGATCGAGGCGGGGGACAAGTATGCTAGTGACGCACGTGAAGCTCGACTGAGTGGCCTGCTCGAGTCCCCTCGGAAGCAACCTACTCAGCCGGAGCTTTTGGGACGACTCCAAACTCTGGACCTGCCAAGGTTCTCCGGGGTCCTCTCCGAACGGCTAACCTTTGTGGAACTGTTTGATAGCCTAGTGGACACCCGGAGGGACTTGACACCAAGCCCTAAGATGGATTACCTCCTGGCCTCACTGGAGGGGAGGCCCTGGGCATCGTCGGCAATTTCGGCCAGGTCGGAAATTGTCGGACGACGCCTACCAGACCGCTCGGGACCTCCTCGCCGAAAGGTACGCCAACGTACGACGGTCGAACACGTCAAGCAGCTGTTGAACCTCCCGCTGCTAAAGGACCGGGCCAGACTACGGCCGGACCTCGTAAATCCAGTCTTGGTGGCCTGCAATTCTTTGAGGCGGCTGGATTTACCGGTGGACGAATGGTCCTTTTTGCTGCTCCACATTGTGCTGTCCTGCCTGCCCCTCGATCTTCGGATCCATTTTGAGGAGAGGTACGGCGGGGACGGCGCCTCCTATATTCCGCCCTTCAGGGATCGGTTACGGTTCTTGGAGGAGCAGTGCAAGCAGATTGAGAACGCAGCGGGCACCATCGACGACCTACGGACTGCCAAAGCAACCGTGCCTAGGGAGAGGCGGAACCCCCCGGGCAAGTCGTCGTCAACCCTCCTCAGACCGAGTGGAGCTCCCGCGGGAAGGCGCCGCCCCCTACCTTCTTATAGTGGCCTAGTGGCCAGGGAGGCGACCCCTGCTCCTACTGTCGAGCATCCGGTCACTGAGTGACGATTTGCCCGAAATTCTTAGGTAAGCTGGTCCCAGCGAGACGAACCATCGCCAAGGAGCGCCGCTGATGCTACTCATGTTTGGAAAGGCACCTCCAACGCGACTGCCTGCACCAGCGGCCCTGTCCGCACTGTCAGGGCAATCACCATGCCTTTTTGCGCGAACGGCGCTTCCTCTCGCGGCACTGCCGGGTCCCCGACCCCCACAGGCGGGGGCGCTCAGCCACGCCCTCTGGCGATGCTCGTCGCTCCCTTGCCAGCCACCGTGCCCCTGGGTTTGAAGGGGGCCCCTCCCCCGACCATTCGGGGGGTCGTTCCCCAGGGGCAGGGGGGTTAGTCACCCCCCCTCCCTCAGCGGGTTGAGAGGAACTTTACGGCCACTCAGTGGTCAGTGAGACCCTTCTCACCCCCGTTGGCTGAGAGGCCGCGACTGGAATACCCCGCCCCCTTTGGTCGGTACCGGTACTACGGGATTCCTTCGACCTCGAATCTGTCCCGGTCCTCAAGGCCGAGGTTCCCCGAAGCTCCCCAGGTCGGCCCGTTCGGTGATTTCTACCCACGGGTCAGTGAGATGCCGCCTGAACGCCGCTTTCCGGACCCCCGACTTGAGTGCCGGTCCGATGGAAGCAGCTCCAGCTAGGAAGCTGCCGCCCTAGCTCCCACCACGGCCGCCTTCACTGACCCTTTGAGCCTTCAACAGTCTACTTGTCAAACTGTTCTATTGCCGACGGCCTCAGTGAAGGTGTACAACCCGAGCGGTGACTGTTTAACTGTTCGCGCTCTATTGGATTTAGATTCATAACGCTGTGTGGCCTCCACTTGGTTGGTGGGAAGACTGAAGCTCCCCTGGAGCTCTGAACGACGTCCAATGGTAGGTATTGGAGGTGCCGAGCCTCTTGCTCCTAGCGGACAAGCGAAGCTGGTGTTTGGTCCTGCCACCTTAATATTTTAGTTAAAGTAAATGTCCTCGATGACATTGTAGGTTTTCTCTCTAACGTCCGTATAAATGACAGCGAGGTTCGTTGTGCGTCGGGTTTGAGACCGGCTGACCCTCAATGGTCCCAACCTGGGCATATGGATTTGTTGCTGGCGGGCGACGTGCTGGGGTTCATCCTGTTAGGCGAGATATGAGCCCTACAGCCCGATGGCTTGTCAGCCATGTCCACTGTATTTGGGCACAGTTTCTTTGGACCAGTTCTATGGTCTCCACCGCCTCAGACGGCCGACCCGCTCTCTGTGGTGGGCGTGTCCCTTTCGGACGTCGTCCAGTGGTTCTGGGAAATTGAAGAGCCACCACACGCGCCTCGAGTCAACCCTCTGGACCGTGAGTGCGAGTTGTTCTACCAGAAAAATACTGGTCGCCGTGTCGACAGTCGTTGTGTCACCCGCTTACCCTTTCTTGACTCACGACCCCCTTTGGGCCAATCTCGTACTCTGGCCGAAAAGAGGTTGCTTTCTATGGAGCGCCGTATGCGGCGCGACCCAGCCTTTCGCGACAAGTATGTCGAGTTCATGTGCGAGTATCAAGAGCTGGGTTACATGTCACCGTCCCACTTCGACTGGCGGTCACAGGAGCACTACTTCCTCCCCCACCATGTGGTCTTGAGAACCCCAGGGAGTAAGATTCGGGTAGTTTTTGACGGCTCCGCCCCCTCGTCAAATGGTGTGTCCCTGAACCAGTGTCTCCACTCTGGTCCTAAATTGATTAAGGACATATCCGACATTTTGACCCACTTCCGTCGGCACCAAGTTGTTTTTGTAGCCGACATTCGGATGATGTTTTGACAATCAGTGGTCCATCGTGATGATCGTCGATATCAGCTGATATTGTGGCGCGAGAAGCCTAGCGATCCGATAAGTGTTTGAGTTGAACACCACCACCTATGGACTCCGGTCCAGCCCGTATATCGCCATGCGAACCCTCCTCGAACTCGCTGAGAGAGATCATCTAAAATACGCTCGGGGGGCTTCTATTTTGGAGGTCTACATGGACGATATTTGCACGGGCGCCTCCACCATCGAGGAGGCTCTTGAATTGCGAGACGAATTGATTGCCATCCTGAAGTCAGGAGGTTATGAGTTGCGCAAATGGTTGTTGAACTCCTCTCATATTTTGAAGGACCTCCCAGGAGAGGATCAACAAGACCCTCATCTATTCGAGCACCTTGACAATCCTAATTTGTTGACTGTGCTGGACATTCAATATCAGCCTGTTCGGGATACCTTCACGTATCGAGTCAAACTCGATCTCCCTTCGGAATTATGGACCAAGCGCTCTGTGCCTTCGACTGTAGCCCGCACCTTCGATCCTAATGGATGGATCACTCCGGTCATTTTTTGGCTAAGTGCTTTCTTCAAAAGCTCTGGATATCCGGGTTGGGTTGGGACGACCCTATAAGCGGTGCTCTCTTGCGAGAGTGGCTCTCCATTGAATCCTCCCTTCCGGAAATCAAGCAGGTCTCCATGCCAAGGTGCTTTCTCCCTTCAGGGA